GCTCTATGTCTTGGCACTTAAGTGCAACTTTCTTTCGAGTTTTTCTATAGAACAAATATATACATCATACGACGTTTTATTATTTATTTATTTTTTGAGATGGAATTTCAGTCTTGTTGTCCGGGCTGGAGTGCAATGGCACAGTCTCGGCTCACTGCAACCTCCACCTCCAGGGTTCAAGTAGCTGGGATTACAGGCATGCGCCACTACGCCTGGCTAATTTTGTATTTTTAGTAAAGACAGGGTTTCTCCATGTTGGTCCAGCTGGTCTTGGACTCCCGACCTCTGGAGATCCACCTGTCTTGGCCTCCCAAAGTGCTGGGATTACAGGGCCGAGCCAACGCACCCAGCCCATGGGATGTTGTAAAAAAGAAATACAATATTTAGTAACAAAAGGTGGAATGGGAATATGATCATCCTCTCTCATGTCCAGGAAGTTCAGCTATACTATCTGAGCAGAGTGACAACGATTTTAACCTAAAGCACAAGAGTCCCTGCAGGACCACCATTGTCTCTGTGGGATACAAGTGCTGAAAATGGTTTAAAAAATCCCCTCATTTAGATACCTCTGTTAATTTCATATTTTAAAAATAAATGCTGGAGGCTGAGCATGCTGGCTCACACCTGTAATCCCAGCACTCTGGGAGGCCAAGGCGGGCAGATCACTTGAAGTCAGGAGTTTGAGACCAGCTTGGCCAACATGATGAAACGCCATCTCTACTAAAAACACAAATAACTAGCGGGGTGTGCTGGGCAACAAAAGCAAAACTTTGTCTCAAAACAAAAAGACATAAAATGATGGAATAAAACCTTCTCTATCACTGATGACTGTGCCTCTACTTTCCATTCCATTCCGTCATGACCAGTTTGGAGTCAAAGACATGCTGTCCCTAATTTAGCTTCAAATGTATTACAGAATCAGGCACAAAATATTTCCCCTTCTTGGTTTTCTTTTCCAGAATTTAGGAGGTGTTTGTGCACATTCACGTGACTTCCACATGCAGCTGCTCTACTCCTGGTCTACAGAGAGCTGACGGTGCATCCAGATGTGGCTCCTGAACAATCCCTGCTGCCCAGCAGCCCTGACACCACGGGGCCCACACCCCGTCTCCATCCACGTCTGGGGAGAGCCCTTCCCAGGACCATGCCCAGTGCAGCCTCTTCCCAAGTTCATGTCACTGGGTCACGGGAGGAATCTAAGCGAGATAAGGGACTGAGGGAAGGCATGGGTGAGTGCCAGCAAACCTGTCAGGCAGGACGCTTCAGACTCAGAGAAGATTCCCAACTCCAAGGCCCACCTGAAAGGAAGGAGACAGAACGATCCACTTAGAATATCATCTCACCTGAGGAAGAGCCATCCCTGGCTCCTTTGCTTCCCCCTTCTGGGCTTCTTCCTCAGATAACATGAGTGTTTACGGGTGGATCACAAGGTCAAGAGATCGAGACCATCCTGGTCAACATGGTGAAACCCCGTCTTTACTAAAAATACAAAAAATCAGCTGGGCATGGTGGCGCATGCCTGTAGTCCCAGCTACTCAGGAGGCTGAGGCAGGAGAATTGCCTGAACCCAGGAGGCGGAGGTTGCGGTGAGCCGAGATC